GTAACTGAAAAAGTATCATTCCATTCTATGTAATCTATATTTTACTACTGACAAGATATTGCAAGCAATAAAAATATGTCAGCCAAATATTATAGTAGTAACTAATGATAGCTGAGGTTCACAATAATCTTGACCAGTAGAAGTAAGTAAATTCACAATAATTTTAACTAATAGTAAATAAAGCTCTAGCATGTTATAAAAGCAGTAGCTGTACACAAACACTCATCACTGGTAACCTACAGTAAAAGGATTGTTCAGTATTAGTTCTATACAGCAAGTCAAGACAAGATGGATTCCTGTTCTTATTTTAAGCTGATAGGATGCTTCATTCTTATTAGCACTGCTATTGTTCCAACACAAGGTATGTCATACAGTAACAACAATAATAAGAATGGACATATCTATTTTACTAATAGGTTGTTTTCCTCTTGACTGTCAGGAAGCATACAAAAATGGTACAGTATGCAGTGGAGTATATACTGTGAAACCTGATGATCTGCCAGCTTTTGACGTAAATATATTAATATATAAATAGTATATAGAACCCTTTATAATAATGACAATTTAATGTCCCAACTATACACAAAGCACCTTAATGAGGACGCCTCTGTATTAAGGATAGTGTGGGCCCAATGGTGTCCTTAATAAAGAGGCTACATTGTACATGTATTAAGGACAGGTATATAGTGTGGGCCCAATGCTGTCCTTAATAAAGAGGCTACACTGTACATGTATTAAGGACAGGTAGTGTGGGCCCAATATAAAGAGGCTACACTGTACATGTAGTAAGGACAGGTAGTATGTGCTCAATGGTGTCCTTGACAAAAAGGATATACACTGTAGCAGTATATAATTTGTATTCAATAGGTCTATTGTGATATGAGTAATGGAGGTGGATGGACTGTATTTCAAAGGAGAATGAATGGTAAAACTGACTTCTACCTCAACTGGGATGACTATCAATATGGATTTGGAGACCTGGATAAAGAGTTCTGGCTGGGACTTTATTACATAAACCGACTTACTGCAGGAAAAAGCAATAGTCTCCGTGTTGACTTGGAAGATTTTGATGGGAATAAGAAGTATGCTACTTATTCTACTTTTAAAGTAGGGAATGCAGACACAGAGTACAAACTGACTGTGTCTGGATATGCAGGCAATGCTGGAGATAGTCTGAGCTATCATAATGGAGCGGAGTTCTCTACCAAGGATCAAGACAATGACGACTCCTCAGGAAACTGTGCAACAGCTTATGATGGAGCATGGTGGTATAAGAATCGTCATCTCTCAAACCTCAATGGTCTTTATTTGGTTGGGTCTCACTCCTCATATGCCAATGGTGTCAATTGGTATCATTTCAAGGGATACCACTATTCACTGAAGAC